CTATCTGGGACACAACAGTGTATTTTCTTGCTCAAATTTGGCAACTCTCAATGTTATTCACTATCAAACACCAATCTCATCAATCAAAGTGCAGAATTAAATGTCATATCTATATAGGCCACTTCTGGGAAACACAGAAATATGTGTTATTTTTGGAAACAGTGGGTTGACCTCATATTAACAAAGGAAAAAAGGAGTACATCTTAAACAGCAACGCATGTAACTGAAGCTTAGAAGAGCCAGAGAAGTTGTGTAGGTGTTCAATAGTAACAACTCACACAGCCAATGTCTTTTGTGAATGGGAGCAATTCACAAAGTTCCCACAAATAAGACCTCTGTAAGAACATACTTAATACTTCTCCCTCATTCAATGTATTAGCATTCTATGTTCCTACTAAGGAGTAGGTAGGATCTTGATTGCTCTAACTATACAGAATGCCTTACCATTCTTTTCTACATCTAGTTCAGTTTAGTGAGTGGATATCAGGTTTTAAAGACAAATCCTTCTTACTCTTAATAATAGATGTTATGGACTTTAGATAATATCACTTTTGATACCAAAATCACATCACTATGTCTTCTTGTGTTTAGTAATAGTGTAGAAAAAGTAGTATGAAGATGAATGTCAGGCCAAAACCTCCATGGCTTCTGAAATAACTCATTTCTTTAAACTTGAGAAGGAAAGGGTCTGTTTATTTTAAGCTACTATCATTTACAATGGTAATCTCAGTTTTCCTTGTATGTATTTTTATATGTTTAGCCAATTGTAGAATTTTTATTTTCTAAACATTGAATAAAACTCTTCTATCTTAAATTACTAAAATGCAAAGGTAAAGAAAACTTTCATTATAGACATGAGCCAGCTTGCACACAAAAATCAATTAAAGCAGCTGTGGACCAAATTCTATATAAATTGCCAGAGTAAATATTTTGTGTATATAAGGCCATATGGTCTCTGTCACAGTGATCCAGCTCTGCTTTTTAGCAGAGTACAACTATACACAAAATGTAAACAATGGGTGTGGCTGCATTCCAATTACATTTTATAGAGAAAAGTAGACAGGGATTGACTTTGCCCCAGTTTGCCCACATTCTGACTTACTGCATTCACTTAGACTGGAAAGCCATTTCTGCTCCCTCCCAGTCAGATCTAGGGGTAAACTTTTAGCACGAAACTGTCACCACACTGTGCCTGCTATTACTCATGCTTGGGTTGAGGGCTCCTGCATCATTTATCTGCAGGGATAACCTAGGCAAAAATTGGCTCCTGAGGGCTCTCTGTCTAGCTGGAGTTCTTCCTCTGAATTCTGTGATAATACTCTTATCAGATAGATCATTTATTCAATTAGCTGACAGCGAAAGCATGAAGGGAACATTTGTCTTACTCTAAAGTTGAAAATGAAAACTCTAAGAGATCAAGGTTATTGATATGTATTTATCATCAAGGGCCATGTCTGAGTAGGGTAGTGATTCAGGGAAGTATTCTGTAGTGAATAAAAGCACTTTCACATGTTCTCACTCAGCAAACTATGATGCTCTGAATCTAAATGACATGATTATTCCTGTATTTGATCTCCAGACCACTAAATCATAGGCAATGCCCACTGCCACCCCATTTCTGCCATCTTGTCTTTAGCTTTTCATCCAGTATTCCAGTGCTTTGGTCATTTGGGGTTTAAACCTTGCTGTTATTTGTATTGTTAGACCATTTGTGGATCCAACGCAATATGTCCTAAGTGTTGATGATTGAATTGCTGAGGATCTTTGGGCTATTATAAGCAAAAATCAAGGTAGCCATCTTAAAGCGTGTCTGTTAGTAAAGTGCATCAGGGAACATCTTAGCTTCAGTACCCTTGACTGTCTCTCTACAGTACCACCTTCTTACTCACATGCCTCCATACAATCTGTGCCATATGCCAGGTTTAATTCCTCAAAAGGGATTGTGGTTGACAACTAAGAACAAATGCTTTAGTTACCTACTGGGTGAAGGATGTCATCATGTAATTATGCCTGTGGAAAGAAAATCTGAGGTTCTTACAGTGCTTGGAAGACCTGGCCAATTTAGCCCTGCTAACTTGGGGTATGTACGATTCTGGAATGATGCTTTATGTGCTGGTTTTCTAAAACCTTTTTACATATTTAAAATTCTACCACTAATGTCAAGTAGAATGGTGACCCCAGGAGGTCCCTGTCAGTGCCTCTTCATAGCAGGTTCTGGGAATGTCTCTGTTTTGTATCCATTACAGACCTTCTCTAAACCTGATTGTGTCCATTGGAACCTTGCCTTCGCTGGTGTTAGTGGAAGATTTTATTTGAATTACATTTTTCCTCAGTTTATATTCATATGTAATATCTATCTTTTCCTACTTCCAAAATAAGTTCATCACTGGCAAGTTTTAAATCCAATGGTAAAGATAATGTTTACACTATTTCCTCCAACCATCTCACCTTAGGCTCATGCCAGCTGAATACACATTGCCAAGCATGGCACTGGGCCTGCTCCTCACAGTCAGACCCCTTAGAAAGAGAGAATGGTCTTTTTCGCCATTTATTGCCCCATCCCTCACATAACCAAGGCCCTGGAGAACTCTGCTTTTTCCTGTCGTTTGGTCTACAAGATGGCAGGCTCTGACTTCAGTGTTTCCTGAAAGTCCCTTGCATCTCTCTCCCATCTGCAGCTGTCTCTGATGCAGTCCATTGGCCTGCCTTCTGTTGCAGATGTCAAATGGGAAGGGGCTCTGCTTTCTGTGAATGAGATTTTTCATTTTAGGCAGCTGAATCCTTCACACCTTTCAGATTTCAAGTAATTTCTTCAGCACTGCTCTTCCTGGATGGTCCTTATGTCCCGAGTCACTGTGTTCCCCACCAGGCAGTATGTTCGCAGCTGCACTGATTGCTTTCTAGGGTCTCCCTAGTGTTGTGGAACTTTAACTATGTGAAGATGTGTTGCATTTGTTTCTCTTTGTCTGCCTAAGGCACATGATTGGTCGAATAAAAAGCTGAACAGCCAATAGCTAGGCAGTAGAAGGATAGGTAGGGCTGCTGGGCAGGAAGAGTTAAGTAGGAGGAAGAATCTAGGCTGGGGGTGGAGGGGGAGAAAGGAAACAGGGACACCAGGGGCCAGCCAGCCAGCCACAGAGGAAGCAGGAAAGTAGAACATGCAGAATGAAAAAAAGGTAAAAAGCCCTGAGGCACAATTAAGATGAAGAGAACAGGTTAGTTTAAGTTTAAAAAGCTAGCCAGAAACAAGCCTAAAGTAAGGCCAAGCATTCATAACTAGTAATAAGTCTCGATGACGCTGTGATTTGGAGAAAGCCTGCTGCTCCCTACAGTAGCTGTCTGTCAATATACATTGTAACTTCCGTTAGAATGCAGGACACATGAGAACAGCCATCTTGTCTCTGCTCTGTCCCATGGATAGCACAGTGCGTACTAGGTGGTAAGTTAAAGCTACCTGGCAATTTTCTAATCATCTTTGATGCACAGCGGTCTAGAGAGGCAAACAAGCTGGTCTGTTTTGAGCTATAGAAAGTCAGAAAGATTATATATATATATATATATATATATATATATATATATATATATATGGTGGAGGGGGCCTGGCTTCTTCGTATGACCTTCTGTCTAAGGTCTTAAGGTATATGTCTAAGTTATAGGCACTTAGGACTGTGATCCTCCCTCTTAACACTATTTTCATTGTCTTCTAAAAGTTTTCCCACAGTATAATGTCATTATCATTTGATTCCAGGAATTCTTTTATTTCCTTCAGTGGGAGGTGAGACAGTGTCTTAAATATGTAGCCTTGGCTGACTTGGAAGACACTGTATAGCCTAGGCAGAGCACAAACTCAGAGATCTGCCTGCTCCTGTCTCCCAAGTGCTGGTATTTCAAGTGTGGCTCACAATGCACAGCCTTCTTGATTTCTTCAATGACATCATTCAATGCTGTGTTGTTTAATGAGCTTGTATATGTTCTGCACTTCTCTTGCTGTTGATTTATAATTTTATTTCTATGTGACTCTAGGATATGAGGAATTACTTTAATTTTTCTATATTTGCTATGATTAGCTTTGCATCCTAATATATAATCTGTTTCTGAAGTTCCATAGAGTGATGAGAATAATGTGCCAACTGTAGCTTTTGGAAGGGATGTTTTGCTAGGTCCATTTGATTTATGATGTTATGTAATCTAGAAAGAACAAAGCTTAGCAGTTGGTACCTTTGCCATTTGGGGGAGCTAAGATAACTGAATCTCAGACAAATACAGATGGGATCTCTAACACTACTTGACTCCAATTCAAAGAAAGTTGTTGGAATTCGCAGCTACTTTTATATTCACTGTCAGGTGGCCATTCTCGGTGTCAGTGCTAGCTGGTTCAGAGAGCTGAAGAGTGGGTTCCTGAGGCTGGAGTGGGGTAACGTTGGTGGATGTGATGGAACCTTGACACAGACGTTCCTTTAACATTAACACAGGGGCAACTTTTTTGTTTACGCTTTTAGAACACTTGACATTTTCAGTAAGATGATCTTTCTTCTCTAAGAAGTGTGCACATGTAACCCAAGTGTACATCTGTGCTGACGTAGGCCAGTGACTGCATTTCTCAGAATGGATGGCAAACTCCAATCCATATTCTAAGTTAGTAAAATAGACTCTAACAGTATAGTTAGGATTATTTTGACAATGTTAAAGTTATATGTAAAAGACCTGTTGAATTGTCTTTCACAGCATGGACTTTATTTTTGCCCCAACATCTCTTCTTGGAGCATACTTTATTGTTTATTGGTCTGCATTTGGTTTACTTCTCATTAACTTAAGCCTTGTTTAAATTTTTTCTTGAAGTTTTATGCTGGTGGGTCAACTTAGCAATGGAATGATATTAAGAATTCTTAAAATACCTCAGAATCCAATCTTTCTGACCTCTTGATGTAGATGCTAAAATAATTGTTCTCAACCTGTGGGTCACGACCCTGTTGAGTTGTATATCAGATATTTATATTATGATTCATAGCAGTAGCAAAATTACAGTTATGAAGTAGCAACCAAATAGTTTTATGGTTGGGGGCCACCATCACATGAAAAGCTGTATTAAAGGGTCACAGCATTAGAAAGGTTGACAACCACTGCTCTAAAAGGAACTTTCTTCTGTATAGCCATGTACACTGAGGCTCCTATGCAAGTTTATGGTTTTAGTAGCATTTTTTAAAATGTGTAAATCAAATCATTAGTTCTTAACCTGTCTGGACCCTGTATTTCATCATTGTTGTCTCTATTACTGAAGACTATCCATGAAGAAATGGAGGGAGGAAGTGACATCTTATAGTAGCTCCATATCTGGCTCCTTCTATGTTCCCTGTGTGTCTATCCATAAATATTCTTTGTATTTGTTTCATTAAATCAAACTAAAAACTAGCCATATAATGTAGCAAAGCATTAATGGCTAAGTGTAGCAGAAGGTATTGGATTTGTGGGTTCTTTGTACTACTGTTGAGTCATTTATGTTTTAAATTAGATAACAGAATCATACACCATTTAAAGGAGCCTGCCTCCTGATTTATCATCCCAGGTATTTTCTATAGCTGCCCCTGTGGCTTCCCTTGTCCCTGGGAGACTCATGCCTAGGGTGTTCTTCACCAGCAGGTAAAATCAGAGACTCAGAGAATTGAGGTTGAAGCCACAAAGTTTATGTCTGATTTTTGAATGCATGAAAATGAATCCAGGGGAAGCATTTTAAAACCATTTATTTTTAATATATTCCTTTATTTGTATATCTTATTATATTAGAACTATTATTTCTTCCTTTGGGGAGTAGGGCAGATTCATTACCACATTTTAATAAAACTTAACATTCCTAGATAACATAAAAGCATGTTTGAGATAGATAATGATTATTTTATGTGTTTATCTCAAATTGAAATTCATATTCTTTGTTTTCAGGATACTAGGGGACTACTTAATAAATGCCACGATAAAAGCCAGAACGTCAAAGGCACAATAACACTGAAATTTAAAACTACCTATGGAAGCAGACTGGAATACATAATAAAGGAAAAGTAAATAAGAAACCACTCAGGAGGGAGGACAGGGAGAGTAGGGGGGGAGACTAGGGAGAAAGAGGAGGAAACGAAAGGAAGGATGGAAGATGGGATGGAGTGAGGAGGGAGGAGTGGGGGGAGGGGAGAGGAAGGAGGAAATGCCTGGAAGACATGTGGTCAGCATGTCGCTCTCTTCCCTTCCGGGAACTATATTATATGACTGAGGACAGTCACTCGGGGACTATATTATATGACTGAGGACAGTCACTGTGTCTTCAGAGTGTAAAGCGCTGCGTCACAGGGTACGGACTTACTGTGCTGTTCACTGCACAGGCTGCACATGGAACCAGTGGGGATCAAGGAGAGCTCTTTCCCAACAAAATTAGGAAGGATCTGGAAGTTTTAATGTCCAGGCCTGATAAACACAGAGGTCATTGCTTTAGCTAAAATCTGAGAAAACAGAAGAGTTCCATTGTGTTCAGTTTCCCGGCCCTTCACATAAACTTGTCTGTACAACGAGTCGTGACTTCAAATTGTTTCTTAATGTGGTGAGAATTGCTCATCTGTGCAATGAGTGAATATGATTTTCAGTCATGTGTTCCTGAAGATGTCTTAATCGTCTCTAAAGTTTTTTGAAATTAAAATATAGCTACATAACCCCTTTTCTTTTCCTACCTGCCACCCTTCTGATATAATTCCTTGTTCTCACTCAAATCCATGCCCTCAGTTTCTTTCATATTTTCTGATGATTTAAGAACCAAGAATACACCGGATGCCGAGCTTTGTAAAAACAAGGATGTGCTTGCATGCTTTGCTCTTGCTGTTATTGGAGGATCTACCTCCTCTGTCCTGGATATGGCCTGTGCTTATTGTCAACATTCATGATGAAGGGAACAAGTTTGTTCTGTAGCCTCAGCATTGTGACCGTGATGACAGGGTAGTGACGCAGTGATGGGACCCTCAGCATGGAGGTGCTTTTGACTTTTCTCCTAATTTTACTAATGCCCCAGCCAGTCACCATGCCTTCCCAGTCCATGGTCCATGCAGCTGCATAATTATACATCACATCTCCAAAATGAATTAGTTTATTTTTAAAACAGCTAATTGCCTTAGTGGAGTCATGTTTTACCAGAAGCACAAAAGCGCTTTGTTCATCGAAGAGGAATTTTCTTCTGGAATGACTAACTTCTGTGAATATCAGCTATAAACAGCCAAATATCAGTAAAATCCTCTAAAGTAGCTCATATTCCAGAGCATCCCAAAGCAATTTCAGCATCATTTACTGTAACATGTCGCTCTGTGTGGTCTTAAAATTAAAGTGATATATGTTCTATTGCACAAGGGAAGTATTGGGGCCGTTTTTGCTGTGTGTTTTCTATAGCAGAGGTTAGATACTTTCTCTTGAAGCCTAACTATGTATTTACAAGTCAGAGCTCTTACTATATGTTCAATCTCCTTCAGTTAGTGCAGGTCTTGGAAGCAAGATTTCTGTCTAGGCTTGAGCTTTGACATTTTGATTTTGGATGTTGTCTTGGTATGTTCCTCATCTGTATCCCAACACTGAAGAGTGGATAATTTAAAATCAGTACTCTAGAGATGGAGGCAGGCAGATCTCTGTGAGTTTGAAGCCAGTCTGGTTTATAAGGAGAGTTCCAGGGCAGCTAGGACTACACAGAGAAACACTGTGTCAAAAGAAATTAAAAAGAAAAGAAAACAAAAAACACTAAGCTCAGCTCCAGAGCCCAAGTCCAAAACCTAAATGCTGGCACCTGGCACCTTTGTCTTGTGTCATAAAATGACAATTAGGACAGAGGGCATCATCAGGCTGAACTCACCCTTATCAGGAACCATTGTCATGATGGCCTGCCCACTACCCCAATAACAGCATCCATTGTTTCAGTACAGTGGAGCATCAATGACATTTCAAGGAAGTGCCATCTTCAGAGGTTTTACTATTTCAGTGGCAAATCTCAACATGATTTTTAACATGTTGACTATCAAACAACATTCAAACCATGCCTTTTTTATCTTTGTAAAAATGGGAGGTGTTCTATTTAAACAACACACTTGTCTTAGAAATCATGTGTAAAGAATGACTTCAACTATTCCCTGTAGGGCAGCATTGCCTTGGTCAGTTAACATCGGCAATTCCCAAAGAGACTGAGTCAAACCAAGTATAAGATGAATATTCATAATGGAAAGTGTTGCTTTAAGGGGCCTGGTCTTCATGACCCCTGAGCAGCAAATGCAGATTAGAAGAAGGATGCAGACGTAAATTTGATTCATAGCTAGTTAGTTAGGTGGTTTGAAAGTTCAATAGCAGGAGGCTAAGGTAGCTGATAAATATGTCCCCAGAGACGCTGATATGACATTACCACCACAGGATGACCTCAAATGTCACCTCTTGATTACATTTCTGAACTTTGTTGCATTTCTCAATGGCAAATTTAGCTGCTTACTTTTAGTCATTGGTGAGTATTTGAGAGTATGGAAGCCCTGGAGAGGAAAAGCAGAGGGCTGGTCCTAGCAAAGCTCGATCTGGAAACCCTTGTGTTTTTCTCCCCCTCGTCCTTCTCCCAGTCATCTTAACAGTGGTCTCTTTGGTTTTATCTTTTATTTTCTAACCACACAGATATTTAAAAACAGAGTTATTGTCATGAGCAGTTAAGTACTGGCTCCAACTTTGTGTTCCCACCCAGAAAAGCAATGTCTGGTGAGGTAATCTGTATTATTTGTCGAGTGTTGTTGTTTGAGTTTTGTTCCAGGAGAACTCATGAATCATACCAATTAAGTTTCAAAGGATTCACCTAATAAGTCCTTGGAAAGCAGGGTGCTGCTTTTGAAAATGACAGTTCCAGTTTATAGTTCCAGGAATTCACCTGCCTCTGTAACAGCACACCTTCTCTGCTGTGATGCTCCGGTGGGCACTGACAGCCATGTCTTTATTAGTAAAATATATTTGTATAACTTAAAGCATTTTAAGGTAGTCTCAAACTTAATTTTTGATCACATTTCCTACAGTGTCTTGAGTCTTTGAAACTTGGAACAGATGAAGAGCTTCCTACCTGACTTGTTATACAAGTGAAGTGTAGCTAGAGTTTTCCTGCCTGGCCCACAGTCAGGACAAATCTTTGTCACTTGCCAGTCCCACAGCCGCTCAGACCCAACCAAGTAAACACAGAAACTTATATTGGTTACAAACTGTATGGCCGTGGCAGGCTTCTTGCTAACTGTTCTTATAGCTTAAATTAATCCATTTCCACAAATCTATACCCTGCCATGCGGCTTGTGGCTTACCAGTATCTTTTCATGCTGCTTGTCAAGGTGGCGGCTGGCAGTGACTCCTGCCTTCCTGTTCTTTCTTTTCTCCTCTCTGTTAGTCCCGCCTATACTTCCTGCCTAGCCACTGGCCAATCAGTGTTTTATTTATTGACCAATCAGAGCAATTTGACATACAGACCATCCCCCCAGCACAGCCAAGTGCAGACCATCTCAGACACCTGCACTCAGGCCCCTGGTCCTAATCATCCTCTATGCAGACCTGCTGGGTAAAGCCACAAGGAACCTAAGAACGGGCTCCCATAGGACATACAGAATATCCCACAGCAGTGAAGTTCTTGGAATCCATTATTGTGTCAATTTGTAAATGTCACATTATTTGAAAATTATGTATATTACATATGTTTGCAGAAATCAAGAGACCTTTAGAGAATCCATAGATTTCCTTTGATCTAATAATAAACCTCCACAACTATAGTTACTTTTGGTCTACCTGCCAGTACTGTTTTGTGTTGTATTTTAGAGTAGTTCCAGTACTTTCATTTTTAGGTTAAAAGGTGTTTGCCTCTCATGACTGTGGCTGAGCTTTACAAGTCTTTCTTTTGACACCAGAACACAGAGATCAGTCCACACTCTGATTGCCTGGGGGCTATAAACAGACACAAAGCATTTCTTAAAGCGATAATCATCTTTAGAGAAGAAGCCGCGCTTTTAAGTGCAATTTGTGCATTTACTAATTTTGTGCAGCATTATTGAGATGATGAGGTGCTCATTAGTACATTCCTTTTATGTTACATCACTTCATTTTAAAGTCAACTTTTATTTCAAGTTCCATAGCAATTTTTCATTGTTGGTAGCAGAATCACAATGAGAAACTCTTGAAAAGAATATATTTAGTTTAAATTAAGCCAGAAAGAAAAGAGGAAGGTGAACTCAGCCAGGACTCAGTTGAAGATTTTACCCAGAATCTTTAGCTGTCTTAGAAAATGCAAAATGTTGCCACTTCAAATGGAAATTTCTTGAGAAGAGAAAGTATTTGTAAAAAACGTATAAAAAACCCTATTAGTCAACATTTTTACAAATACCTGGTACCATCATTGCTTTCAACTTTTGCTTCCCCATGCATATAAAATGGTATCTCACTTTGGCGGAATTCTTTTGTTTCTTAAAGACTAGTGAACATGTTTGAAGCATGGGAGGGATACTACCGTTTCCTGGCCAGGACATCCTGAGATGTTTGGACCCCTTTGATGCTGGCTGTATCTTGCTCAGTGTGCTTGCAAACATTATTATTAACATGTATTCTGAATGCTAATTGTGAATTGAAACATGCACTATAAACATTTTCTCCTTATTTGTCATTAGTTATTGTTTGTCTTTTCAAAGATGTCTTTACATAAAATTCTATGCTTATATCATCTTTACCAATCTATTCTTTGATGAATTGTGTTCCGTTTCATTTAAAACTATCTGAGGATATAAATATACTTCTCTATACTTTCCCCACTAAACTTTTGAAAATTGTTCTTGGATATAGTTGAAATTCGGATATATATTCAAATTGTTATTTTCACTATATAGGTAGTTTAACACAATAATTTTTGGTTTTGTTTTTCGAGACAGGGTTTCTCTGTGTAACAGCCCTGGCTGTCCTGGAACTCACTCTGTAGACCAGGCTGGTCGAGAGCCTATCATCTCATTTTTCACAATGAGCCCCACACTCTGCTGTAAACATTCTGTTATACATAAATATGTTTGTATATGTTTAGGTATGTTTGCCTACTTTTTGCTGGTCCACTTGCCCTCTCACCTGGGTGTTTCTGAGTCAGAATACTTTCTCTGTATCTGGAACTTCACCACGAACCCATGAGCTCTGATAGCTTTAAAACTGTCTTGACTTTCCTCGGCAGTTTTCTGTTCAGCGAAATATTTTTGATTTGGTTGTTGAGGTTAGGAAAATAGTAATATTCAATATTTATTTTCTAACCAGATACAAAATTTTAATATTTTCTTTCTTTTTGACTTCCTAAATGGGGGAACCCCAATTTAACCATCTATCAGTTATCTTTATTAATATTTTAATATTATATAATGTTAAAGGCATATTGTTATATAACATTGAAGTGTGAAAGTAGGACTTTGTGTTCCAACATTCAATTATCCTAGAGTTCAAGCAAGGTTTAGAGAGATAAAATCTGCTAATTTTAGCCTCTCTTTTTCTTTATTTTATGAATTCATCTTTTTTTTTTTTTTCCTGGAAGATTGCCTGTTTCCAGCAACATGCTTTCTTCCTCCCTATTTTTTCTCTACCTTATTGACAACTGGCTTTTTAACATTTTGTGTGAAATAAAAGCAAATTGATTTTGAGTATGGGTTTAAACTGAACTAATTAAGTAGCTATTGTAAATAGTTCTCAACTCATAGTTTAACTTATGATTTTACTTCATGGTGGTGTGAAAATAGTTTGTGTTTAATAAAAAAAATATATTTTGAATTTTGAATATCTGTCCTTTCCTGACTAGCAATATGTGTAAGATACGTTCGCAGCACTGAGCAGCCTCAGGCTCTCAGTTCCCAGCTAGCCACATGACTACAAAGGTATCAGACCAATGCTGCTTGGTGTGTTCACCGGCAGCTCAGTAGTTTAGGGTGCTGAGTGCGCTTTCCACTCCAGTGTCTCCAATTTACGGTGGGTTTATCAGGACCGAACCTGTCCAAGGCACGGACACCTGCACTTTCAGATCCAGCGCTGTGAAACAAAGGCCGCCAAGCACTGCCAGTATTAACGAGAGCTATAGCCAAGTGGAATGAGGATGACTTTCCACGTCAGAAAATTATGATCAGACTCAAGGTCACACCCTCAGGTTCCTCCTGGACACACACTACCCTGTTTCTAACATAGAAGAAGTGGAAATTCAAATGTAATCAGAGTCAGTAGGATGGACAATTCTGTATCCAGGCAACCTGATCCCAAGGAGAAATATCTAACTTTCTCTGCCTTCTCTCCATTAACTCCTGATTTACTGGACATTTTGGGGGAAGGATGGGTGGGCTGGTCAGAAAGACAGATATTTAAGAGCTGGAACTGGAAGAGGGTTTTAAAGGCATGGTGAGTAAATCAAACACCTGCCATTTGTCCCACCTGGGAAAGGAAGGGAACAAATAAAGGGAGTTTTTAGAAATTTAGTCCAATTTTTTTAAAAGATATGCTCTGTAACAAAAACTAAGTCAACTGCTATTGTTGAATATGAAATCAAAGCTGTTTAATGTCAGTTCATACTCTATGAAAAACATCAAAATATAGTAAAATATAGAATATTACTAAAATATAGTAAAATATAGAATGGGAAAGGAGAGATCCTTCACTGTGTTGCCACATTGCCAGCAGGAACTAATTAGAATGTGTTAATAAACTATAACCCAGCACCTTAACCCAGTCACCTCTCACAGTGAGTGCACCTGCCGGGTACCTGAGCTGTGGACTCTTTAAAGCCCACCAGAGATGCAGCCTCCCTCGCGCAGAGCCAGCCTCCCTCAGGTGTCTCTGCACTCACAGGTGTTCTCTATTGTATGGCACATTAATTCAGCCTCTGGCCAAGCTGTACTACTGATTTGGGGTTGGTATTGAATGTATGTAGTAGGTTAAGGATTAAGAAAAGTAACTTACTTCTCTAACTAAGAAGCTGTAAATGGTAAATTTACATGTAAATGTAAATTAATAATGATGCTGTCATGGTTATTGTGGTAATGACCCTGGTATGGCTGCAAAGTAATGTAGATTTTGAACAGTGTGTTAGCCACTCTATGGTCCTATATATTATCCAGGTACAGGTAAACCTGTACCTATGAATTTTGACTGGAATATGATTATTGTTTTAGTTGTATACACTTATTGTTATGGACCTATCCTCTCCTTCATGGTGTTCAGAAACTCTAAATAATGGACTTGAATTACTTAGGTCTTCCTTTGGGGCTAGAAAACATATTTTAACTACAGTAAACTATTGAATAGTGTTGGGAAGTTTTATAAATGAAACTCTTAGTTTCCTTTAAGGAGCAGAGTCTTGGTCTCCCATAGCCTAAATGTGTTATTGGGTGCCTCATACAATACCTAGAAGTTTCTTTTGAACTCAGATGCTTGAAGAGATGATAAAAAAATAATTTCATATGAGTTAATAAACTACAAGGTGGCTTACATTTGAATCATATATATTTGAATGTCTGGAGGCCAGTATGTCCTATTTCATAAATCTCCCTCTTCGGAGTGTTATAATGACTCATGATTAATTTGAATATAGAGAAGTGGGTACTTTAGTTTCCCCCCAAACATATTAACAATATGGTTATATGTACTAGACTGTGAAAATCAGTCAGCCACTAGTCAGTACTATGATGGTCTTAATGGGTTCTCATTTCTCAGCATCTGTATTCATTTAAATTTTAATTGTTTTCATATAATGCTGGGTATATGATTGCTTTCAGTGGAGTGTGTATTTAAATGAGATCAAGTCCCAAGGATTCTGAATGGTGTGTTCTACTAGTGGTTTCTCCTGTTTATAAATGGAATGACATTTAGGACTGTAGATTCTCAAACAGCATTCAACATCTTAATTGGTTCATTTTAGTTTTGTTTTGTTTTGTTGTTGTTTTGGTTTGGTTTGTTTGTTTTTGGCTAGGCTTGAGGTTTCTCAAGCCACTACGCCAATAGGTATAATTTAAATAATGAACAAGTAGTAAATTTTAGTCTAGGTAAAGTTTGAAATTTAAAATAATCAAATTTGATGAGGGGGTGAAAGCTATACTCATCTGTGAGTATAAGGATAAATATTTTATCCCTCTCTCATTTAAGAAGGATTTTTGAAACAGATGGAGACTATTACAGAGAACCACAATTGGTCAAAATGCAAGAGCAACTGACCGTGAGGTGCTCAGCCCCAACAGATCTGTCTACAGTAGAACCTCTGTACCCAAGACCCTGGTAAAATCATAGGAGGGTGTGTAAGAGCCAGAGGCCCAGGGTGCTTGCTGCTTGTTAGTGTCTTCTAGATGTCACAGGGAAGCTGTATGATATTTTAACAATATAGCTGCCTAAACAAGACTGCACTGGTCAACAGGCCAGCATGACATGGTGAGTTCAGAAGACCCCACCCCTAGATGATGAGCTGTGGACAATGAATGGCTGGTAGAAGAGGAAAACATCAGTCTTTCCAGGGACAACCTCCTGAGAGGTTATCCAATCCCAAGTGATCAGCCCGAAACACATGTAAGAGAAACAAAAGATGCAGTAAAGTGTGTGTGTGTGTGCGTGTGTGTGTGTGTGTGTGTGTGTGTGTGTGTGTGTGTGTGTGTGTGTGTAAAACAATAATTAAAGGGGAGGTCATGAATTTGAGAGGGAGTTAGGGTACACAGAGGAGTTATAGGGGAAGGGAAGAGTGGGAAAGGAAGTAAATACAGTACTGGTTTATGAAATCCTCAATTGACTAAAAAATATTTAAAAGGGAACACAAAACAAACAGCTCCTCCTCCTAGGTCTGTGCATTCTACTTAAAACAGCACTGCTGAGAATCCCCTGCAGGTGTGGCCCAAATAAAAAGACAATTTCTAGTTCCTTAGAAATCAGATTGTTACAACTTCAGGTGAAATGGCTAATGTTAGCATATTGATTTTTAAATTGTGTCCCTGCTGTCTGAGATAAAACAAATATTAGCCGGGAGAGCACATTGTGTACTGAGATATTCCTAGGTTGTGATTAAATGGCAAACACAGATGTAATCTCGTGTCGCCTGTGGAAGTCTTATTCCATATCAGTATGGTTACCAGTCTCTCTTGCACATTCAAACATTAGGTCAGCTTTACAAAATACCAAGCACACAGCCTCTTCTGTAGGTAGGGCTAGCATGTTGCTGTGTACTGAACGATTGTTCAGCAGCCTGGAAGGCCACAGCACTAACTAGACTTTGTGTTTCTTTTCCTATAGGAAAGTGAGGAAATTGGAAATCTTCAGATTCTGCTTGGTGATGGTTTAAGCTGACCTTAGAAAGAGGACTTATGTAGGACCCCAGTCACACAGCATGTTTAAGCTTTGACTTTTATTTGTGTGTGTGTGTGTGTGCGCGCGCGTGCGTGCGTGCGTGCGTGCGTGTGTGTGTGTGTGTGTGTGTGTGTGTGTGTGTGTAGGGATATGTACGCAGAAGTGCAGGTGTCCTCAAAGGCCAGTGGCATTGGATTAGATATGTGTAGAGTTGCAGGCAGTGAGCTGCCTGACATGGGTGCTGGGAACCAGAACTTGGGTCCTCTGCAAGAGCAGTGTGTGCTCTTCAGCACTGAGCATCTCTCCATCCTCAGTCATGCAGTTCTTAATTTGTCTGTCAATACTGTTAAAAATGAGAATTATTATGTACTTGTCACAATCTAAGGACTTCAGAGTTGGCATTTCTACACATTAACGCCACACTGCAAACTAGATGTTGACATTCCCATTTATAAGATGAGAATATATGTACCTCTCATAACTAATTTACCATGGATAATAAGCAGAAATCAAATAAAAGTGTTCTGTACAGAACCCACAACATGGATTGAAAAGTTATGTAATGTCAAGGTGGACGCGGGAAAGCCCACAAGGCCTCAACCCTACACAGAGAAGCACAGGTTACCACCTAAGAAAGGCTGAGAGCAGGAGAGCAGTCCTCCTGGGATGGAACAGGAGCGAATGGTCAGCCCCAAACATCCATACAAGGAACACTGTACAAACTGAGCAGGTTGTGTTTAGAAATATATGTACACACACACACACACACACAAATACATGCACATGCACATACACACACATATGCATGCAACAACGATTAATGAAAAAGGAGGCTATGAATTTGAAGGAGAGCAAGGGAGGGTTGTGGAGGATTTGGAGGGAGGAAAAGGAAGGGGGAAGTGATGTAACTATGATCTCAAATATAAAAGAAAAAATGGAAAATATTTAAAAGGAAATGAAGTGGTTCTCATGAATCAACTTTAAATTAATCTCTAAAGCAAAGGCTCCTACAGCATTCTGAATACGTCCTTTTGATCTAGAAGCTACATGAGCACATTACCCTCTTTCAAAAGGCTTTGGCCAAGTAGGGTTTCTTTAAAGCTGCAAAGTCAAGGAGATTCTAAGTTGGAATTCTGTTTTATCATAGCTTTTATGGCTTAGATGAACCACATCAGTGTATCCTCTAGAAGAATGTTAATGGGACCCATGTTGTGTGTTTCAGAGGCCTAGGGATCCCTAAGAACATAGGAACAATTCTTAGAATCTCTAAAATCCCATTTTGTTTTTAAAAAGTTTCAATGTAGAAATGTAAATATTTTAGACAAATCCTCCTTAATATATTTCTGAGTACTCAGTTTAATCTGAGGAAATTTTCATGGTTTTATAGAGTTTTTAATCATCTTGCAGTGGTTCTGGTACTGTACTGAACAGCATTGTATATTGTAGAATCACCACATTGATGACCAGGTGATGATGGTATTAAGTGTGGAAAGTGAACTTCTCTGAGGAGGTAAAAACCACATCTGAGATGAAATTAGGGGAAGAGTAGTGGTAGGTGGAGTGGGAAGTGCTGTGGATGATTGATTGATAAATAAAATGCTGATTGGCCAGTAGCCAGGCAGGAAGTATAGGCATGACACAGAGAGAGGAGAATTCTGGGAAGTGGAAGGCTGAGGCAGAGAGATGCTGCCAGCTGCTGCCATGAGATGTTAAGATACTGGTAAGCCATGTGGTACGTGGCAACTTATAGATGAATAGAAACGGGTTAATTTAAGATATAAAACAGCTAGCTAGAAGCCTGAGCTATTAGGCCAAACAGTTTAAATAATATAAGCGTCTGTGTGTTTATTTTATAAGTGGGCTCCAGGACTGCTAGTGCTTGGTGGGACCTGGAGAGAAGCTCTCCAGTAACAGAGAAGAGGTGATGGGAAAGGTGTTGGACCTCACATGTGCTGAGTGCTGATTGCCCTCTGGGTAATGGATGGTACATAAATGAATGCCATTTTTATTCTTGTCTTCATGATGTAGTACAAAATCATATATGTAACTAAACTGTTTGGATACCTGTGATTTTTGTCATGGTTGGACAGTGAATTTGGGTATTCTCATTCATGATCACTCATGCTATGGAAGGCTTCTCTGTGGAGAAGATGGCCGGCTATCAAAAACTGAAGTCGCTTTTTTGTAGTTTATCAAATGTAAGAGAAATTTTTGACTGGATAAAAGGGAGAAATCTTTCAGAAGTATGCAGAGAATTATCTACTAGGTAAATATGAGCATAAATTGATTAATAGGAACACAAATGATTTTTATGCAAATGCATCTTAAAAACAAAAGAAGGATATTATATACTTATAAAATGAAAAAGGGTTCACCAAATTGGGAAAAATGGAAGAGGATCATGGATTATATTATAAAAACAATATGTGAAAGATTTGGAAGAATGAGGAATGGCGTAAGGAACACTAGCATACTGTATCTTCTGTATGGCATTTGAAAAGAAATGGACCTTGCTGCCAAGTCACACTGTGGTCAGAACATGAATGGCCTTTGGAATCATTTCTCTACTCTAAAAATTCCCATGTTTATTATTCCATAACACTTAGTGATATGGCCGATGTTATTATTTATATTTATGTGCCATTGCTATAAATGTTTTCAATCTGTCAAAAATAAGTATGTTTTGGGTCTTTACTCTTTCTTAAATTTGTTAGGTGGCATACAACTAAGTGAATTCTTAAGTAAGAATTTAATCATAACTTTAAAATACTGCTAATTTTAGAGGCAGAGACTTTAGAATGCTCTTGATTTAACTGGATGATAGGTTGTGGTATGAAGAGGTGAAAATCAACTTGTTTATCATGGTCAGCAATGATATGAAAGCTGTGTGTTGGATTTTTGATATCTGCTGTTTTTATATTATCTTCAAACAAGTTTGCTCACAGTTCTCAATTGTGGCACTTCTCCGGACTCTATATGACTGAATACATTTTTGGATTTCAAAACCACACTTTATTTCTAAGCTGGCAAGTTTTAAAAACATAGCTACAGAAGGGGCAGACTTATTTTATAGAACTAATTACACTCTTAATTCATACCAAGCATTGAAGATCAGAATGTGAGTGACACTTGAGTAGACTTCTAGGATTTTTATTTTCATAACCCTGTCTGTGTTAAAATTGAGGTTCCTGTTGAGTGCTTATGATATCATAGCTGCCCTGTCCATCCAGAGTTCAGCCAGCATGAGATAGTTTATTGGATTACTTTAAACTTCAGAGTAGATACTGTTCAGTAGAGATGCTCATTAGCATGAACCTTATAAGCCATGGGTCTTTTAGTTCTGTTTCCTGCAACTGTGATAGGACACTCTGATGAGAACAGCTTAGGGAGGAAAGAGCTTCTTTTAGCTCATAATTCCAGGTTACATCCCATCATGGCAGGAGAGTCAAGGGCACAGGAACTTGGAGCAGCTTGTCACATCCACAGTTAAGAGCAGAGAGAAAAATGAAGGCGTGTGTGTGTGTGTGTGTGTGTGTGTGTGTGCTTGTGTCTGTGCGTGGTTCTTCACTGTTCTCATACAGTCCACACTCCAGCCCACACATTGGTGCTGCCCACCTTCATGTCAGATTGTTTCAACTCAGTCAACCCCATCAAAAGATCTTTTACAGGCATGTCCACAAGTCAACCATATTCCTACAGCTCCTTATTGTGACTGTCTTCCCAAGTGATTCTAGATTGTATCAGGTGGGCAATTAAAACTGACTATCATAGATATAAAATGCAAGCATTATTCCTGGCTGATATGTACTGACATCTATGTCCAGGCCTGTGTTACATAGGTACTAATAGAAAGTGGTGTTAACTTGTTTAGTTTTCCATGTGTGATGTTTATTTTAGAGTCAGAAAGACAGTACATATAAAAATGGTACAAACAATTGTTGTATGTTCCCTCCACTTGAAAGGATGAAAAGTTATGATGCATTGCTCTCAGAACGTTAAGTAGAGGTGATAGATTCAGTAAAATTCATCAATTAAAGTAGAATACTCGAGCCAGGCATAGTGGTATGGCATTAAAGAGGCAGGTGGATAACAGATGCAAGACAAGACAAGCCTGGCCTATGTAATGAGACCCTGTCTCAAACCTACAAACCATTAAATGTGAAGTACTAGCCAAAGCAATTGGTAATAAGACTTTCCTTAAAACTCTGTCATTGGTACAAATGTTAATCCATTATAATCCATTATTGTAAACTGGGAACCACAGATGCATTTTACATTAATTTCTGAGTGTCAATATGATTCAAATGCCTCACAAGAAGGACATAGCATTACTTTGTTCACTCAAGGTCTACTAGATGATTCTAGACACCTTCAGAAGACCTTGGAAGAACACTTCTAATATTTTATGGATAATAACAAGGCAAGGGAAGTGAGTCAGGGGAAAGTTCAATAACCCTGAACTGAATTAGAATGATTATAATTACAGCTATGTGTTTAGCTTTTGATTGGGATTTATTTATTGCTAAATTGATGTTTTAATAAGAAACTATGAAAAAATTTATGGCAATGAAATATTCTAAGTTGTATAATGGGCAATCACCCTAGATCAACCATTACTTATTCATTATGGTAATATTTCTTGGGCAGGAAGGTATGTACAAACATTGTGCTCAGTGTCAGTGGTACCAGAGGCAGCAAAATAGAGCACATTTTCAGATTGACAGATGGAGTCTAATGAGCACAA